TTCTTTAGACGATATAGAGTTCGCATGGTTACAAAGGCTAGCCGTAAGCTATTTTCAGTGACTTGTACTCCCCAGTTCATAGTGCTGTCCATAAAGAGTCCGGGATTTTTAATGGAATTTGACAACGGAATAGGTTTGTTATTGTATTGTATAACAGGCAGACTAGGGAAGTCAATTTTCTATTCAACAGCATTCTAGAGCTTCCAACGAGCATTGCTTGGCATTTATTGGGGTTAACAGATATTCCATATTTCTTCCAATTATTTTGACCAATCGTGAATAATACTCAAGTTGGAATTTAGTCTGATGAACGCGTTATGGAGGTCACCAATATCAGCCTGTAGGTACAGTTGCAAGTCATCCGCATACAGATGATATGGACAATCAATATATGTTGTGATCGAGTTTTTAAAGACCGAGATTAATATGGGGGAGAGTATACCGCCTTGTGGTAGGCCAGACTCAATATCAGCCCATTGTGAAGACTCTTGGCCCACAAAGACGGACTGCTGACGCCCGCGGAGATAAGATGAGAACCAATCCATCGCTGTGGGAGCGAACCTTAATTGAGCAAGTACACAGAGTAGGATATCGTGATCAACTGTGTTAAAAGCGTTAGAGAAGTCGACAAGCACCATCATTGTCACTTTCTTACCATCCATACCCAATCTAATGTCATCGGTAATTTTAAGTAAGGCAGTGGTGGTGCTATGTCCCGAACGAAACCCAGACTGATAATCACTCAGTTTTTATGAATGAACGAAGAGATTTGCTTATAAACACAGGCTTCTAAAACTTTCGAAAGGAAGGGTAAAATTGAAATAGGGCGGAAATGAATGGTAAGTACTGGATTGGGAACTTTAAGAAGTGGTCGTACATATGCTTTTTTCCAAAGGAGTGGGTACTGTCCTGACTCAAGGGTAAAGTTTATAATATAAGTTATAGCAGGAACAAGTAAATCTATCAAGTTGACTATCATAGCTCTGCTCATATCATCACAGCCCACAGCCCTAGATTTTGCTAGAATAGTTTTCTTAGTCTCATCGTCATTAACTGGAGCGGAATTAAAATCTTGAATGTGTGGAGGTGGAGTGGAAGTTATATAAGCTATAGTTTGAGCCCGAATTAAAGGATCCATTGGAGAAATAAAGGTGAAATGTTTGTTAATAACGTCAGGAGAAATGGAAGAACAATAAATACTAGTTGAATTAGCGACACCGAAAGAGTTTAGAAATTTCCACACATCCGCTGGTGAAGAGTTATTAATATGATTGTGGATATATCGGCGTTTAGCCGCACGCCCCATCTGATTGCACCTATTTCTGACTTGTTTAAAAGCTGCCCAGTTTTCTTCGGTACGATTAAACTTAAATCGTGAGAAAGCCCTATTACGCCTAGCTATTGCCTTACGCACGTTATCCGTCATCCAAGGAGCTGGTGGTCTTTTCAATTTTGCTTTAATGATTGGAGCATGGACATTATACAATCTATGAACTATATTATTGAGGACAGACACCTTCTCATCAGCCGTGGGAGACATTGCTAAGGGAGTAAAATCTGTATTATCCGCATCTTTAAGGAGCCTATCCATGTTTAATTTCCTGAAGTTGCGGTGATATACATAAACGGGAGTAGTTTTAGGAAGTTTTAGCTTAAATGAAGCATAAATTAGGTCGTGGCGAGAGAATCCGGGAGCGGAAAGTTGACCATGCGTTTCCACACGGTCAAGAGAATTCGTTAAAATTAGATCAATAAGATAGTCATTAGCGTCAATATTTTGATGCGTTGCCTTTAATGGTAAAATTGTGAGATCTACAGACTCTATTATTGTTCGAAACCGTAGAGAACGTGAAGAATTCTTTAACAAGTCCGTGTTCAGATCACCCATGACTACGCAGTGTTTTTGCCCAGATAAAACATTTTCGAGAGCAGTTTTTAAATTGGCGAAATAATCAGTAGAAGGAGGACAGTACACTACTCCGAGAATCATCCTTCTGCCCTTCATATCCAGTTCTGGGAAAAAAAACTCTGCTGAAGCGGAATAATGCGAAGAGGAAGCCATGGCAATTTTGCACCCTATTGATTTATGAAGATAAATGGCAACTCCTCCTCCCCCTTTACCAACACGTTCGTTACGGATAAGAACAAAGTCTGTCAATGGAAATGCCGCGGAATTTAGAGACGGTTTCAGCCAGCTTTCAGATACTAAGATTGCATGTATATTAACAGATGAAAATGACGCTTCCAGTTCAGCAAAGTGACTCGGTATACTTTGGGCGTTAATGTGACAGATGTTTAATGTCTTATTGCCAGCACAAAATATATTGTCTAAATGATATTGTGATCTCAATAAATAAAAGTAAGTGATTGTGATATGCTTAGGTACCATAGGCGTATATAGCAGGGGGGCCGGGTGGGCCATGCCCACCCCAGTATCGTCTAGTGCCCACCCGATTTTGGGTTACTGATTCGAAATTCTAGGCTACCTAAGAAACTTCATAAAAAATCACTGAAATCAAATAATTATCTACAGCTGAGAAATCTATGTACTACATATTTAGTTTTTATTACATACTATTTTTCAACACATTCCGTTTATTTACTTATGAATACACAACTTACTAACTACTAATTAGTTAATACTACTATTATAAATTAATAAAAATTATTAACGATAACGAACTATTACTTTTTATTGCGACGCATATAGTGTTAAATTTATTTCTTGTAGTAATAAAGGCCCAGGCCCACCCTGAAAAATAATTCTAGATACGCCAATGTTAGGTACACAGGCAAGGACTTACCTAATTAATTCACATTGAAAGATTGTAGTGAAATGACTTGTAAATGTTTATAAAGATAACAGTAGGTATCTCGAGCAACAACCAAAAGGGATTATTTTATTATATCAAAAGTTACTCTATTTTTGTTCTATTGTCTGTCGTTCTTTTACCATAAATATAAATGTGAAAACCAGTGTCGTCACTGTAATTATAGTAGATTCACTGTTCAATACCTCACATAATGTATACTAATGAAATACAAATGTAGTGTATGAAAAACACTGTAATTTATTTTAAAGTTAAAAAACAAAATATCTATCCGTATAAAATGAAAAATACTATGCTCTAGTTCTAAAAAGCATTTACAATAATCGGGAAATCACCCACAAAATAGTATATACTGTACTCGTCTACTGAACTAAACACTTGAACTGTGTAAATCAGGCTATAGACTCTGAGACTCAAAATATAATTATTATTCGACAAAAAGTAAATACCTATAGTACGTGTTTCGTAATTCTTTGTTGTACCTAATGTGAATTATTCATTTTGTAACGTTTGGATTACTAATAGAACAATGTGATTTTATTTTGTTTATGTCGACTAGTACCTAAGCATTTCAGACTAATTAATATTAATTAAAACTAATATTAGTACTGATTTAATTAAAAATTTATGCTTGAATAAGCGTTCTTTAATATTATATATTAATGGTCATTTGGTAGCCGGCAGGAGGGAAGAATTAAGATGCAGAACAAAGAACAAGCCGTGTTGAGAAAACCATTGGGGTAATGCTAGACCGATGAGTGTAAGGGTGCATAAGATAAAAGCAATGCTACAGTATAGAGAATGAGTCGCCACACCACCCCCCTAGGGAGAAAAATAAGCCACAGTCATAATAATATTATGTGAATATTACGCAATTCTTCTAGTTGTGTAAATTTTGAACCAAACGATACAATTTTTAATAATAAAAATAAACAAGTGACACTGTGAATGTGAATAAATGTGATTGTCAAAAATATGGCGCAATCTTTTTACTGTAAAAGCGCTGTATTTAAACTGTACTTTTGTATCAAACTACTGTATTTTTTTTATTCAGAACACTGTAATTGTACTAATCTGACCCTGCAATGGCAACAGTGGTAAAGAGTGATGTATCGATATTTATAAAAATATCAATATCGGCCTCGATATATCGAAAAAAAATATCGAGATATCCATGTATCGGTCATATTTTCAGTTTTAAAAAATAATACATTTAGTTCATTCTGATTCAATAATAAGTAATAGTATTTTATACCAAATTCACATAATTTAAATAAATGAGAAATTTTAATAAAACGTTAATTATTTATTAATTTTAATCTAATTTCTTTTATTAATCTAAATTTCTAGGTATGTTATTTATCAAGAACTTCATTGAAAAAAATGAAATAGCGTATTAAGTAAAGTAGATCAGTTTCTTTAGTCCTGAATCGAATCAAAAAATAATCAATTAAAAACCATATAACTTTGTAAAAAAACCATACAGAATTGTTTAAAACGAAGTTAATAATGAGTCAACAAGAAACGCTAAGAGACTTGTCCTAAAAGTCAGACCTAGATCTAAAGAATTTAGTAATAGTTGTTTGATTGACATGAAAATGCTGAACGACAATTTAAAGAAGTTACTTATGTGGTTAAATGATAACAATTTTTATACATTTAATTATTGAGACTTAGATTATACCTCATAAAATTTTTGTTAACTTTATTTACATATTAAATTAATTTAACTTTAGTTGATGCCATTAATTTTTTGCATGCTATATATAAATCAACATAATATGAAGTGCAATATTAATGATTTGTAACACTATACCATGTTATACCTAAGATATGGATAGCATAAAGTACGGAGCATTCAATTGTAGTATAACTTTAATTATAGTACAAAATGCAACTCCGCATCCGCGACAATAGTATTAGACCACAGTTTTTTTCCGTTAATTATTATTTTTTACAGCTTTGAATCAGTTTGAATAAAAATATCGTTTTTGATACGATTTCGATATTCAATTTTTTATATCGATATATCGGATCAAAATATATCACCCAAAAATATCGATATATTTAAAAAAATATATCGATATATTGATATTTTTTCGGCGTCCCTAGTAAAGAGCAAAATTCTGACACAAGCAGTGAGAGAGACTGGTCTGGTCAACAACAAAAATGGCCCATGTTCCAATTGGAATACCAACCCATGTCCAAAAAATTTGTAGCCTTTATAAAAAGACTCTGCGTAACTTAGAAGCTTTCTATGATAGACGGTAAGTGCTTTCAAATATTTTAAAAGATATTACGTTTACTTTTTTTAACATTACGTAATTTTGTTATTAATATTATATACTTACTGGATAATAATATAATTATAAAAATCTTACCTTCCCAGATCATTGGATGGGTACTTCCCATTGCAAAAAGTAATTTTTATACTTTCTTTTCTTTTTTTGTAGCCTATATTTATACGTTTTTACCTTTTTGTCGCGTTGTTAATTTGACGTTTATTTAATTGTATTTTTAATGAAACTGTAGTCGAATCATTTTATATTTAGAGAACATATTAAAACTTTAGGTAAATTTCGTATATCCTTATTTAAATTTGTTAGTGGGTATTAGTTAATAAGTTCTTATTGATTAGGTATATTTAAATTAATTATGCAAACTCTATTTATAGTCATGTGTATCGCTATCAAGCAGTCCTACTTCGTCAGAAATTCGACAAAATTATAAACGAAAAGGATAATCGTAAATCTGTTGAAATGTTAAAGCAGGCTGAACATGAGCTCTTCTTAACACAACATCCAATTCCAAGGAAATGTAAGTAAATTTAAAAGCTAATATTAGACCAGTTTTAGGTCAAAACCTTTGTTGGTCCTAGCATAATTTCTGGACAGGTATAATTTATTACAAAGATTGCTTTCATGGCTTTTGCTGTGGTAGAACGATTAAGCAACTTCTACTGTTAATTAAATGTGTTAATTAAATCTACATAAAATGAACTGACTGCACCACTTCAAGATTATGTATGTATGTATAATTGTTTGGCACGCTCTGCAGAATGAACGGCTAGATGGAGATTTATTGCAAGAGTGGATATGTCAAAATAAAACATTACACAGAAACACACATTTTGGTTTTTTAGTTTTTTAAATTTCATTCCACTTGTTGGTCTAGTGTACCATAAAGTATACCAACACATTTATTATGATGATTTCTTTAGGTCTCACAAGAAGTAACATTAAAATTCTTCGAAAAGTATGTTAACATGTTAAACGTGCCACCATGTGCCAGCAGTTAACTTTATGCACGGGCCACACGAAATTTTATAGTTTGTTCAAAAATTAGAACATTGTTATTTGTCTTTAATTGATAGAATTATAGTAATAAATTGCATTAAAGATATGACCGATTGGGTGACCCCCATGGCCCATGCCGAAGCACAACCATTTTAGTCTACTGCATGCGGTCACGCTGTCGACCACGCCACGATTTCGCGCGCCTTTTTGTCTTTATTAAACATAAAATGAACATAAAAATGAACTATTCATTTAAGAATGTATTTGCGCGTGTAATTTTAAGCGCCGAGATATCAGCGGTGCCATAAAATAAATACTAGTGACGATGAAAATGAGACTGCTTCATATTCCACTTCGAAAAACTGTCCATTGACAGGTTTGTCGAAAAACTGTCCATCGACAGGTTTTTCGTCGCAGTATTTCTCGCCTCTAAGCAATAAACGAAATATGTATAATACCTTACACTAAATTTCCTGGGCTTCTTCCGAATCTTGTAAGAAATATGGTTGAGAAATCTCTCACAAGACTATAATGAGCCGTAATCGCTTCTTTTGATCCAAATTATTGTTACATGATCAAGATAACGTTCTAATAGATCATATAAAATACCTTTTGAACAAAGGTCACACACTTTTCACAGATAACTGGTACGAGTATAGTAGATCTGGCCAGAAAACTTTGAAAAAGTGGTGACGGCAATGATGGGGTTACAGTGATGTAATGGCGGGTCAGGAGAGAAATATTACAATTTTAAACTGTTTGGTTTCTCGCCTTTTCCCTCCATCTCCTTTAAGTGCAGTCTAAAAATTTCGGAAAATAGTGATTACTTTAACAACGCTAAAAGAACAATAGATCTTTCCGATCTAACACACCTCTAAGAAAATCTACAAAGTGATATAAAAAACTTAGCAATAAACATCTTATTTGTATTTAGAGCTGTCGCGAATTCATTGCTATGGTACCAATCTGTTACGGACAAAAAGATCCAGATTACGGATACGAGAGAAGAGATACTTAAAAGTTTGCGTGCAAGGAACGATAGTATTGCTGCATCTGTTCAGGGCTCTCGACGAGCGACACGTAAATTGGTCAGGAAATCAGGTCCATTCAAGGATAGTATAGATAGACGAAGCTGTGTTTAATGTAACAAAGATATTGTCGTCACAATGGTCAGAAATTTAGCCAAATATAATATTACAAACGATGATCACCGATTGTGAAGATTGTTCTCAAGTCTTTCTTATGTATCCAATGCTCTAATATTACTCATCATTGACGTTTTATTTTAATTTCATGGTTGATTTTGATCTCAAGAGAGCAGTTCCTTGGTTTTTTACTTAAAAATCGAGGAATGTTACGTTATATATAAATAATTGTTTTAATAATTTAATGTTTTTAACAAATTACATATTGGTCGGTAAATATTTATTATAAGAGTACATAACAATATCCATTCATTTTTATATTTGAAAATAAATTAAAATACTTCTTACGTAAATGAAGTACTCTTTGTCAAAATCCATTAATTTTTTATGCATCTTCCCATGTTTTCACGAACCATGGTGACATACGTGTTCTCCTGGGCCAGAACGGTCATATTGCATATAAATTTTCTTATTTATATTATGGTACTTGTAAAAAATAAGCGGTTCAAACTTCATCCTACCTTGCGGTCACGGGTGACCCCCATGGCCCAAATAGAGTTGTTGTTGACGGACACCGGTGTCCCCCGTGGCCTAAATGAAACTATATCGAAAATCTTGATGGCGTTCAACGTGTTAATATATCTTTCATATAATTGGGGGTCATTGTGAGACACTGTAGAGGGCTCTTGTATTTAAATGAATTGTGTTCAATGGCATTATTCATTCAAGGGAAAGCATTTTGATGAGATTGCAATATAAAAATGATTTTCAAATATAATCAAGTATAGAATAGATCGTATACAGAAGCATAACATGAAATATGTTATGGTTAGTGGGCTATAAGGAATTGCCATGGATCACTAACATGTAAACAACAGTGAATCGGACTGGCGTATGAAGGGTTCCGGGTTCCGATTATCTATAAAAATGGCAAAAAAAATCATGTCTTTTGTATGGGGGCTCACTTTAATATTTTTTTAATCTTTTTTTATTATTTGTTGTTGTAGTGTCAACAGGTATACATGAACTGTAAAAATTTCAAGTGTCTAACTATCACGGTTCATGAGATACAGCCTGGTGAGAGACAAAAAGACAGCAGTCTTAGTAATTTGACTCTTTCGGTACGGCACCCAAAAAACCATTAGTAGCAATACTTAATTTGGTGAAAGTAAAAGATCTTTATAAATTTTTGATTATATTCTCTAGTCCCCAGGAGCCCTGGTGGTGTGGCTTATCAGCGTGTTGTTACGCCCCCTGACTGGGTACTGGACTATTGGCATCCATTGGAAAAAGCACAATACCCTGAGTACTTCAAGAGACGTGAAGAGAGGAAGAAAGAATTCATTGCTATGTGGGAGAAGGAATTTGGAAAACCAGACCCAAAGGATACACACCATTAAATTTGTAGACACCTCAACAGCTTGTATAATAGTAAAGTAATTAATATTTAATTCTAATTTTTTTTAATTACCCTCACATTTGCAATGACATTGGATGTCTACCTTGGCTAGGTAGTACCTGGTGAGTTATATTTTAAATTAATTACTTAGTATATAGTACCTATTTAATTTGTGCTACTTTCACATGTGTCGAACTATTTAGTTGCCAAAAATTGCAAAATTTTCTTTCTTTGGCTGTGTTGGTATGTCCATGAAAAACAAAATACCATTATTTGAGACTTCATAATCATAGCAAATGGTCACAAATGCTTTTTATAGAAAATGGTTTTGTTTTATTATTAAACTTGTTTCCTTTTAGTAGTTGTACCCTTACTGATGTCGTTTATTTTGCCATAAATACGTAAGGCAGTATTGAGTGGATGACTTTTCGATATTATGTGTATAGAATTTAAATTTGTTATAGCTTTATATGGTTTCAGCCTTTTTTTAATAATTAAGTAAGTACATCTAATTATACTTACTTTATAAAATACTTTAGGTGAGATAAATATAAATTCGCTAGAATTCCCGAACAGGGTTGACGTCAGGCACGCAGTCAGTCATAAAATTAAAGCTAATAACTGAAATAACAACATGGGTCCAAAAATAAATTATTGGACATGTTGTGCCAACCCCACCAAGTGTGGGATAAGGGCAGGAGAAAGAAGAATTAAATTATACTTGCCAGTATAATTTTTATTTTATACTTGACAGTTATAATTTAATATTCAAACATACAGTATTTGATTGATGTAGTATAAGTTAATAAGTCTCATTGATCTGATTTCCTTTCCTTTGTTAAGTGACACTCTTGTTTTCTTAACATCAGCAACAAGCTCATTATTAAACTCGTCAATCTTTCAATGAATATATTATGATCTTTGAACTCTGACATTCTGTTTGTTTTCTTTTGATTGTAAGCATAGTTAGATTGTGTTGCAACATCTCATTTTGTTCAAGGGGTACATTTAAATCTTGGTTTGTGGGAGGGCTCCAAAGTGACAGTTACTGTTTATTCTCCTCCAGGTCTAACCAGCCGTCCATTGGAGGCTGCGGTCCTTGTTGCCCATTGCCTGGAATTTGCTGCTCATCATTCTGTTAATAGATTACATAATTATTATGTGCATGTGGGAGAAAAATATAAATACCTTTTTTATGTAAGTCATAACAACAGTAAATAAAAGTAAGAAGAGATATTTTCAGGCATAGTTGAAGCAGAAGAAATTAAACAAGGAATTTAACTACTGTTAAATTATCTACAACAAAAACAAACAATAATTATATTAGACATGTAACCTAAATTCTTCAAAAAAGCTAAAGGAATACATAGAATGTTTTGTTTGGACTGTGTGAAGATGATATTGCTTAGTCTACAGGGAGAATATTCATGTCATCTAAAAATGTACCCGAGTTTAATATCTGTATGAACTAGTATTCCGCATACAAAATCACTGCTAAAGCATGCATAGGACACTCCTCAAAGAGATCTATCAAGTATCTTTACAACAATTTATTTAATAACATATTACCGTATTTCGCCACTGCCAAGATTCGACGTCTTCTAGCTGAAGTTACCAGACCTGCGTTAATGATACTTTATACCACAGATATGTTGTTAAGGCCCGGAGTGAAACGACGAAAACGTCCCAATTGGGACAAAAATTCAAAACTCAAAAAAATATCATGAATCGTTATACGGTTTTCACTAATTGAAACACGGTTATCGGCATTCGCAAGCCGAATAAACCAGCCAATCAGCCCTCTAGCTATCGTCCCATCAGCCTCCTCAGTTGCCTGGGGAAGCTCTACGAGCGGCTCTTGTTAAACAGGCTCAAAGAGCACGTATCTTCCAACGGCCTTCTGCCGACGGAACAATTCGGCTTTCGAGCTAGACACTCTTGTCCCGATCAGTTATACCGCCTAACGGAGCACATCCTAAAAGGCCTTAACCACCCCAAACACATTAGTACAGGGGCTCTCTTCTTCGATGTCGCAAAAGCATTCGACAAAGTCTGGCACAACGGCTTGCTTTACAAGCTGTACACACTCAAAGTGCCAGATAGGCTTGTACACACCATCCGGGCCTTTTTGTTGAACCGCTCTTTTCGATATCGAATCGAGGGCACCCTCTCCACAAGCCGCCGCCTCACGGCCGGCGTACCACAAGGCTCCTGCCTCTCACCCTTGCTATTTACGCTCTACACGAGCGACATACCTAGAGACCCCCACGTCAATCTCGCGCTTTTCGCGGATGACACGGCGCTCTTTTACTCAGACCGCAACCTCAGTCAATTAACGACTCGACTCCAAAGCGCTGCCGACCGCCTCGGCGATTGGTTCCGCAAATGGAGAACCGATATTAATCCCGAAAAGAGTGTGGCGATTCACTTCACACGAAGTACCTACCCGTCACAACTTTATAATGGCCCTCGCCAATGCAGAAAGTTGGGGCAAATATCCCTTTATGGCCAACCGCTCCCCTGGGAGAAAAAGGTCAAATACTTAGGAGTCACTTTCGACTCGCGTATGTCATTTACTACGCACATTAATAACGTTCGTAATAGAGCCGCGTTCGTCTCCGGCCGGCTACACAATTTAACTAATGCTAAAAGTAAAATGCCCTTAAGGCACAAATTATTACCTGACCTGCGTACGACCTATTATGTCCTACGCATGCATGATCTTCGCCCACTCGCACCCTACTCGCTTGTACAAGTTGCAAATAGTACAAAATAAGTTTATCCGCCGCGCAACCGGTGCGCAGTGGTATCAGCGCAACGTCGACCTGCACAGCGATTGCAGACTCCCGACGATTCGCGCACATTTTAAAGACCTGACCAAACGGTTCTTCGATTGAGTCCAGCATCATCCCAACCCTGTGGTGGTAAGCGCAGCAAACTACCAACCGGACACAAACGCGAACGTAAACAAGCGTCACCCGCGAAACGTCCTCATCGACCCGGTCGACGAAGAGGACTTAGATACGATGGACCCACCGCCGGGGGTCCCGCCGGATAACACTACACCCACAGTTATGTAACAACAATCACACCAGTTCGCCCTCGCCTCCGAGCACAGCGAGACCCACACAACGCGTACACAAGGTACACCCGCGTTCCGGGGCGGTTCTCACCGCTCCCAGCCACCGATTAGCTAAATGCACAGTCGACGGCCGTCGGGGTCTCGGTCCGAACCGGCGACCTCGACGGCCCTTAGATGACACACCATAGTAGTTAAACGCACGCATGAGCACATGCGCGACCCTACCCATAGCGGAGGGTCCAAACCCGTGGGTTCTGGCTAGCCCACCGGTTCTGCGTCCGATGAAGCTTTAATAGTCTCGGGACTGAAAGCAAAAACATCAGTTAATACAAGATACAAGATACTAATTGAAATGGTGTTAAGGTTTTATATATAAATTCCCTAATAGAATATTCCGATGATTGTTGATGTTGAAAATGCAAAACCAAATATTAAATAAATAACTAAAATTCATTATACACTATAAATTCTGATAATTTGCGATCAAGTAATTCTTGGTCAAGGTCTTTTTACAAGACGACGTTACCGTTACGATGTATTACAGGGGCGGGAGGAGGAGGACTTGTGGACTTTGAACAAGTCCGGTAACAGTAAGTTTTTTTTTTATATAAATTAACCAGGGATTGCCAAAGGTTAAAACAATTTGTCAGTAAAAAAATAAATAACTAGGAGACTACATGAGAAGGCCAATGATGGATGAAGTCAATGTATATATGTATGTAAGAATAGGGCCAAGTCAGGAAAACAGCGTAATTAAATTTAAGATTAGTACTAGTAAAAAGTTTATAATGGGCTCATTTTAAAATATTTTAAACTTAAGCAAATAGTTGTTGTGTGACTATTAAATCTAACATATAAAAGTCTCGTGCCACGGTGTTTGTAATTGAACTCCTCTGAAACGGCTCGACCGATTTTCGTGAAATTTTGTGTGTTTTTGTTGTCCGATTCTCCAGGATGGATAATCTATTTTTCATCCCTCTAAATGTTAAGGGCGGTCCACCCCAAACATTTTTTTCTACCCTACAAATAATTTATATAAGAAAACCACGTTTGCCGGGTCAGCTAGTAACATTATAAATATATTAAGCAATATAATCAATTGTAAATGTTTTAGCGAATTTCCGTTATTTTGCACAAAGTTATTGTGTGTGGTTATGGAGCTTGGGGGATACAAAAAACGTTACTGGTTGCGGCAATATTCAAAAATGTAATAAGTATTTGAACGACCCTAGAGAACGACGTTGTTTTGGCTTTGGCCATGTCCCATATACACGTATGTCCGACAAACAACTTTTATCAAACAGGATAACTTCGGGTGGGTCTGTTTTTAACTGATAATAAATTAGTATTATTGAATAAATAGGTTAGTTCCTTCAATGTTTTCGGATTATTAAATATATTCTGTAATATTGGTATCGAAAATTCCTTTGTAGTATAAACAATATACATCTTACTTTTCATGAACTTATTTATGGACAACTTTTCCTCTGAAATGTGAGGAGAATAAAAAGAGGTTACGGTACTTAACAAAAAAAATACCGTGATCTTGTTAAAATGGATATTTATTACCACTACAACAGTTTTACATAATGTATGTTATTTATAAGTTTTGTAGTTAGTTAGAACACCGTATCTCTTCTGTAAATTGTGTTGGTTGATTAAGACTGGTAAAATGAAATATTTCTAAAGCAGCTCATAAACTATAGATTGTTTTCTTCACATAATAACATCAGGATATAATTTGTTTGGATAAAATATACTGATTAAGATAATCGAGTAAGTATGTATAAAAATGTTCAAATTAAAGTCTGTGTGAAGTTATGTTTCAGTTACTATATTTATTTATGAGCAATAACAATAATTGCATGAGGTTTTTAAATAAATGTAGTGAAGCTTTTAAAATAATAATAAATTACAATATACCGACCATGAAATTGAAATATTTTGAAAATAATCTCTTTATACAAATGTAAAATTGGATATTTATAGATAATATAGTACACAAATAGTATGGATTTGTGTAACATTTATTTGTTAAAGTTAAAGTAACATTTGTAGGAATTGTAAATTAGCACAAAATAACATTTTACCATCAACTTGGTTATAATTTATAAATGTTGATTGGAAAGTTCATAGATTACCCATAGTAATGTTTACGTTAAATATTTGACATTTCTTTTTATAAAAAAAATTTGATAAACCTAATGTGACAGTTCATCAAAAATACTATGACGGTTTATTCTTATCCCCAAGAAAAGTTTGCAATTATTAAAGATTAACAAGTTTCAATTTGATTGCTCAAATTAAAGCTTGTCGCCGTTTTGTTTCAAGATATGCATGACATCAAATACTCCTACACCTCATCATTTATATTATACACATTATCTAGAAACACAACATTCAAGGGCTGTTCAGAACAAGCCAAAAAATATTTATTTTCAACATAGGTTTGCCACTTTCAGTTTTGATCAAATCAATATCAGCGACATGCTCAATTGCCACCCAATGTTTGTCCTCGTCCCCAGTTGTGACCTCCAAAGACTGTGCCACCAGGGCGAGTTGGTACCCTAGCTTGGGGTGCAGTACCAAAACCTCCTACATAACGAGTGTCAGGGAAAATTCTCTTCCTGTAAATAAAGTTTTATCATTTAACATTAAGACAATATTATTGGTCATTACTATATATTTAAATATTATTTCAACATGACTTAAAACTGAATCAAAATCTGCAGATTTACTGTGATCCAATTTTTGATGTTAAAGAGTTTAGAAAAAGAATATTTACATTTGCCTTAAAGACAACCACATTGCTTCGGACATGTAGATCTTTGCTGAACAGGATAAATTAATTGACCTATGTCAATTAATTCAGTTTCTTTGACATCACTTGTAAAACTATTTTTAGGTATAACATATTTATATACGAAAGTATAGGGCATATTCCAATTATTATATATATAGTGTACTTATAACAAAATATCAATAATGTTTTTTTATTAATAACAAAACACTTACAAGAACTCTGGAGGGGTCAGAAGTGATGGGCCACCAAATTCCTGTGGGTACTTGAATAAGAGGAAGAATGATATATGACCAACCATGATGCCAAGCATTTCCATCATACCCCTATAAAAATATACAGTGTAAGAAAATGTATAAACTATTCTAAATTGAAATAAGTTTTTTTTAATTTCTTCAATAACCCATTGTGCTAGAGAATTGCACTAGATTAATGTTTTACTGGTAACTTGTTATAAAAATATGTAATAACAGGTTAACAAATATACATTCTTACCCTCCACTCAAGACCAGATTAAAAGCAAGTAAGACCCACGGCAGGTACATTGCCTTAAAGCGAGTACCAAACCAGAAAGATACAATAACATCTTTATTGAGTTGGCACCATACATAGAGTACTGATAGTACCATAGGATCCATTAATATCTGAAAATAAAAATAAAAAGTTTAATTTACACAACTTGAGAATTTCCTTGACTTCTAGATAAAATAATATACTTTATAAGCAAGGGGACAGTATTAGTATCTCCATTAGCTTGGAATTTTCATATTGACATTAAGATAATATTTAATCTGTTTGTTAAAAACTTTTTGAAATCGACAACTTTAAATTTAGAATATAATGGAGAATAAATATTTCTGATTTATTTTACCAAAGCTGAATTGAAAAATTGCCCTTACTACGTCTATTGCCATAGAAAAAATAACTGAAGATGTTTTAAATAAAAATATAGATTAAACACAATCTTACCGGTAAATTGACCAAAAGGCCAATGACAACACAGCAGAACCAGTTAAAAAGTAGCATGTAGAAGTAATCAGCAGGCTTTCCAGCAAACATACCAGTCTCCAGCCTTTGAGAGTAGTTGTATAGGAAGTAGCAATTGACCAGGAAATGGAATCCAGTTCCAGGACCAATTGGATAAAAAAACAGAGCTGTGAGTGGCCTCCATATCTAAAAAAAAGATGGATATTTTATTGCACAATTATTATAAAGGGTATTTGGGATTATTTTTATATCTACAATATAAAAAATACTGAAACAAATACTAAATAGATTTATTAATAATCAAAAACTAATAGGTTGATACCCTAAATTAATGTTTCAGAAATATAAATTTATTTGAACAACCATGCTTGTGAAGCAGATTTTCTGGCAAGTTTCAATAAATAAATGGATAGTTTTAGTAAAAATTGAAATTGGAGTAATAAAGGAAATATGAATGAATGAAATATACTTTATTGTACACTAACAATGGATATTGAATAATCAACAAAAAAAAATACAAAACTGTAGGCAACCTATTGAAAGGAGATAATAAAAACGGTAGTATTGGGTAAATGAATTGATAACAGAAACTAAAAGTCAAAATATAAATACACTTTAATAAATTATACATAATTACACATGCAAACACCATGTATAAATATATACGTTAATAATAATATATAAATATTTAGATATAAGTTGACAACACTGAGGAAGGGAACACAATCATGTTATCATTATTTGAAAAAAGCATTACCTGAAATTCTTTTATGAAGGAGTAATAATCTAACATAAAGTAATGGTAGCTGATTATTCCAAATCGGCCTATTAAACTTAAAACTATAGTAAAAGTAAGCCAATATCTTGTGAAGAAGGATATACTGTTGTACCAGTCTTTAAACTCCGACATATTTGCGTTGACGCTTCTTTAAAACGATAACTATAGCACTAATGTTGCACTCTGATAACCATGGACACTAAACAACAAGCGTCCAGTGATGAAACCTAGTGTAATTTTAAACAAGTACACGTGTCCTATAAGAATTTGTCTAAAATCTTTGGTCGATAAATAACAATGATATTTTGTTTTTTGTACCACAGATAGTAATAAAATAGGCAGGTGCAAAACATATCAATACAATTATCGATATATATCATCGATATTCTATATCGCGATATATCGATATTTATTTTAGACTATCGAATTCGAGTCAGTTTCGATATAATTAAATGAAAAAGCTGTCAAGGTGACAAAGCTACGTATTCAAAATTTTTCTTATTCCTCATTTTTAAAGCCAAATTTGGCTCTAAAACCGATGAAAGTTCAGTTTTAAAATCTCAAAGACTCCGATTTAAGAAATAAATTTTGCATTTCAGTATATTTTTGCGGCCAACGAAAACAAATTCTCTGCGATCAAAGTCAGGAACGTCATAAAACCTGGGGAGTACTGTAATAATTCTTATATTTTAACCTAATTTGTCGCCCCAGATATTTATTTGTATTTGTTTTCAGCTTCCACGTCCACGCCTCGCTGCCGTGTTAAGAGCCAATGGTGGTCGTCGCGAGGCTTCCTCGTCGTGCCTTTTAGTGACTTTTAGTGACCTTATTTTAATTTTTCAAGGGTGATTTTTAATATTATGAATAACGATGTACGTACATGCTCCCAAACGGATTTCCTACCATGTCAAAATTGTTCCGACGGTAGGCTTTTTAAAGGTAAAAGAGGCTTAAATATTCACATCAAACGTTGTCATAGTCACCCTGTTGCAGCTTCACAGCCTACCGCATTCTGTAATAAGACTATTAGCGATTATAATGACAAAAATTTGAAGTTGTTTTCGGAACAGATCTATTATTACCATAGCAATGTACCAATACTCAAAAGGATTCCAAGAGGTGCAAGGATGCAGCTTGCCAAGTCATTATCAACCTGTATTCAAAATTGTTTCTCAAATACTGAATCTAGTTGGCATAATTTATTTACCTTTGCGTATTCCCATTTTCACTTTGATAAATCGGTATCAAAATCAATTACTTCTCAGTTAAAGAGCAATTCATTCAAAAATGTTGAATTAAAGACTGCCTCATCCATAACTAAACCCCCCCGTAAATTCGATTTAAAAAAAGAACTGTAGAGACTAAAGTTATGGATGGTGATTTAAAAAATGCATCGCGCATTTTATTTTCAGACGACATCCTTGCTCCGTATAATGATGAGACTCTAGAAAACCTCCGACAAAAGCATCCATCGATCAATCTTCCGCCGCTCCTACCGCTGCCTCCCGATTCTTCATATCAGGCTTTGCAAATTACCGATAAAGACACTTTCGAGGCAATTATGTCATTTTCAAGTGGCTCTGCTGGCGGCATTGACGGTATAACGCCACAACATCTGAAAGATCTTGTAAGCGTTTCCGCCGGTGATGCTGGCAGAGCGCTTCTTAATGATATTACCAAATTATGCAACTTAATGCTTTCCGGAAAAGTAAATCCTAAATTTGTTCCTTTCTTATACGGGGCAAGATTATGTGCCTTTAAAAAAAAGATAATGGTATCCGTCCTATTGCTATTGGTTCTACCTTTCGACGCTTAACTTCAAAATTAGCATGTAGGCACAATCTCCGGCCTTAAAAGAAAATTCCAGCCTATTCAACTAGGCTTTGGAAGCAAAGGCGGCTGTGAAGCGGCTGTACATTCCGTTCGAACTTCTTTAAATACTAGTGATTTGGATGTACTTCTGAAGGTTGACCTAAGGAATGCTTTTAACTCCATTGATAGAACGACTCTGCTGAACGAAGTGGCTAGCCATACACCAGAAATATATCACTATGTTTGGCAATGTTACAGTGAAAAGAGTAATTTATTTTATGAAAACCATATTATTGATTCTGCTGTCGGCGTTCAGCAGGGAGATCCGCTAGGACCAGCATTATTTAGTTTGGGAATTAATCCAATTATTTCAAAATTGAAATCTAAACTTAATGTCTGGTACCTAGACGATGGTACTCTGGGAGGTAAAGTTGACGATGTACAAAGTGATCTTATTGAAATTTTTAGACAATTTAAAAATATCGGTCTCGATTTAAATAATTCCAAATGCGAACTTTTCTTTTCCGAAAATATTTCTTATTCCGACAAAATCATTTTGACCCAAAATTTTAGCTCTATCATACCGGGAATTAACGTAGTCCGTTCAGATTCACTTTACCTCTTAGGTGCTCCTTTGTTGATACCAAGTTTGGAACCTCATTTAAAATTAAAGTTAAGTCAATTTTTAGATCATGTCAATAAATTGTTTTTACTAAATTCGCATATTGCGCTTACTATTTTGCGACATTGTATTCTTGTACCTAAATTTACGTACCTCCTTCGCTCGAGTCCAGTTTGGAAATGCGGTGACTTTTTGAACGAAATTGATTTCCATCTTAAATCAGCTCTAGAAAAAATTCTAAATTTATCTCTTAATGAATTAAGCTGGACTCAAGCTACGCTGCCAATTTGTTTTGGTGGTATCGGTGTAAGGAAAATTTCTAGTGTCGCTCTACCTGCCTTCCTTGCTTCCGTGCATAGCGTAAATAATTTATGTAATAACATCCTTAATCACGATTCAGAACTTTCCTATGCAGAGGAGGCAAGGATGTCTTGGCTGCCTATCTGTCCCAACGAAAATATCCCACTGGAAGTTAACCTACAAAACAGTGGGATGTCCTTTGGTGCGGAGAGTACAGAGAGATACGTTTCAATCTTTAGAAAGTAATTTAGAGCGTGCCCGTTTCCTAGGAGTCTCATCTAAAGAATCGAGTTATTGGCTTCACGCTTTACCATCAAGTAACTTGGGCACATTACTTGACGATGAAAGCTTACGCATTGCTGTAGGAATCCGTCTGGGGGCACCGATTTGTCAACCACACCAATGCCCTTGTGGTGTCAGTGTAGACAAATTTGGTCTCCACGGGCTTTCTTGTCAAAAAAGTGCTGGCCGTTTTTCTCGCCACGGTTCCCTGAACGACATCATCCGTAGGGCTCTTGTTTCCATCAATGTTCCATCTATTTTAGAGCCCTGTGGCATTTTACGATGGCAAGAGACCCGACGGTTTAACATTGATCCCTTGGGAGAGAGGCAAAGCCCTTGTTTGGGACGCCACTTGTGTAGACACTTTGGCTGCCTCTCATCTAAGGGGTACTTCGGTCAGGGCCGGGGCGGCATCGGAGGCAGCTGAAGTAAGTAAATGGCGCAAATATGAGTCTTATGTTCAGATTATGTATTTGTGCCATTTGCTGTTGAAACATTAGGTCCGTGGGGTCCCCGCAAAGGTTAAGCATAACTATTCAGCGAGGAAATGCAGCTAGCGTTCTTGGCACCATGCCGCGTGGATTAGGTTTATTAGATAATATGTAATTTTAGATAGATTTAATCTTGTAAATATTAGATCAATAAAGATTGTATTTTTTGGAAAAAAAAAAAATATTTTTAACGCAACTCTGGTTTCGTCTTTAATTAGTAGATACTCTTTGCATGCTCCTCGCGCATCGTTAACTTAAAAACTCTTTTCAAATATTTTCTTCGAGTCTATTCTATTTTACGAATTTTGAATGGTTTTAAAATATGTTTAATCATCCGAAAAATTAGGATATAACGATATTTTCGCTCGATATTTATCTCTAATAACATATAATTAGAACGGGGCATAACGTCATTATCAACAAACATTTTTTATTCGTATACATTTGTCACGAACTCTAACACACAGAGGTGTGATAAAGATATACGAAGATATTTCTCTAAATTTGAAGCATATCCCGCTCCATATCTGACATCTTCGTCATATGGCCAGCAGTAACGGACAAAGTCTCGGTTCGTAGGTTATCACAGGCAGCACAATGTTTGAAGATTTTAGTTTTCATGTGCCGAAGTTTAACGCGAACACAGACCATTCGAGATGGATTCGCCGATTGGTCTCTGCGTTTAAGCTGGACTTACCTAATCAGACTAACTGTCCTAAGTAAACATAATATAACGATTTTAGTAAAGTTTCTGACACAGTTAATCATTTCGCTTTAAAAAACTATACACAATATTGTTCTTACGTGGATGTTTTAGATTGGTTTGATATCTCACATAGATCGAACACTAATTAAAGAGTAGTTATTATCAGTTTTCTTTCTAGATAAATAATTGTCCCAACGCCTGGGCTTTCACAGGCCTCACGCCTTGGTCCATTACTTTTTATTGTAGAAAGTGTGTTAGCAAGTCAGAACTCTGCTCTTTCTTTTAAGATGAGAAATTACAAAAAGTAAAAAGGGTTCCCAAAAAAAAAGTATTTATACACTACACTCAAAATGTTAAGCTCTCTACCAAATTACCTGTATTACATAAAATTGTGTCTTTGTGTTAATATCATACATGTGAATTTGATAGTAATTTTAAGTTTCATGTTGAATTTCTTTCTGCAAATAAATAAAAAAGTAGTTGGGTTAACGGTAAACTAGATTAGAAAACACAACAGAAATAAACAGATTATAATTATAGATATAATAAAAAAACTGTTACTGTCAATTTGACAGACTTGAGTTGAGTGAGCATCCTTTTTGCTGATTGCTCACAACTAGAGATGGGTCGTATCGCTTTTTCTGAGTACCGTATCTGAATCAGATTTCGATTTCAAATATCAGATTTCGAAACTATGTATTTTAATATCTAGATATTTTACGGTCACGTATCCACCTTCAATTCTAAAAAAAAAAAAAAAAAAAAAAAAAAAAAGATAAAAATGTTTTCAACGATATTTTATACTCATTCGGAATATAAATTGTGCAGGCGTATTTAAAAGTTGATTCATTCCATATACATAATGTTCGTGATATTTAAAACTTAATACCAGTGATACCAACTGTTCCAAAAGAATACTTCTAAATAAATTCGAAAACCCACTAAAATTGACTAAATTTTAAATCACGATTTTTTTATACTATTAAGGTAAAATTAAAAACATTACCTGATTACATTAAAAATTTCATTAAAAATAGAAATTGAAGTAATATAAAAATGATTGATTTTAACATCTTATATATCGCTTAATAATTGACTTTAACATATTCTTAACACGCAATCATGAGTGACAATATTTTTATAATTTGTGTAAGAAATAATACATTCAGCATTATAACTTATGGCAGAAGAATTTAAATATACACACAAAGCACATAAGCCTTGGTCTGATTTCCACCCAAGCAGCACAGCACTATTAAATTATATTTTTCTTTTTGTGTACTATTTTTATTTTTTTCCACAAAATTTAACTAATAAAAATATTCACAAAAAATTTTCCTCCTAAAACATTTCCATTTGTATTTTTCTTCCTTAATTTTGGCAGAAAATTCTTAAGTAGTAAGTTGGCATCCCTAACTATTACGTGCTAGGTACCAATGCAATCCAGCTCAAGGCTAAACAAAATTTAAAGACATCGTTAATATCGTAATTCGTATTTAAATGCAACAAGATTCAAAATTACTTAACTGCGCGCTTTGTCGCCCGTTACGGCTCAAGGCTAAACAAAAACAATACAAAATATAATAATATCGTTGTAGTATTTAATTAAAACGGATCTTATCAGTATGATCTTAAGATTCAAAATTACTTAACTTATTCATAATATCTGTTTAAAAATCTGATATTGTGCCTTGCTTGCCGTACTGCAACTAGTGTAATATTTGTATCTCACGCGCTTTGTCGCTCAAAATCTGTTTAAAAATCTAATATCGTGCATTGCTTGCCGTCCCGCTCTAACTAGTGAGTATTTATATCTCACGCGCTTTGTCGCTCGATATCTGATATCGTTCATTACTTGCCGTCCCGCTCTAACTAGTGAGTATTTGTATCTCACGCGCTTTGTCTCTCGAAATCTGTTTAAAAATCAGATATTGTGGCAAACCGTATGATATCGCGATTCGTGTCGGTATAGTGAGCGAGCGAGTATTCGGTATATCAGATTTCGGAAATATCAGATATTGTAAAATACATAGATATTGAACGAGCCAGTAAGCGATATTCGGATATTGTACTAATATCTAGATTTCATATCTGATACGATTTGTATCGCCCACTTCTACTCACAACACAAGTCAAACTTGCACTCGCAACCAAACCAAAGAGAATATAACCAGTAACCCTAACCACTACTTTTCAGATATATAAAAGTACTCTTTGCCACTACGTTTACGTTGGTTTACTTGGTCAAAACACAAGTCAACGTAAACGTAGTGATTACATTCTCGTTGACACAAGTCGCAAACGACGTAAACGCAATTTATAACCGGCAAGCCGGCAAGCAAGTTGTATTGCAGATAAGTGTCATAAGTGTTGTATTGAGTAAAAATAAAATTATAATCAAAATATGAAATCCCTCTTCAGGAGAGTGGTTTTGACCAATAATATATCATTTGCTCGTATTAATGTGTTTCGACTCGCATCGAATGATGCCAAAAAGCAAGCACAAGATCCACAAAAAACAGAAGAAGTTATTAATAGTCAGTAAACTTTGTTTTAATTTTTGGACACATATATTTGTATGAATATATTTTCTGTCATCTCATTACAGCATACAGTATATAAAAAGTAAAATTGTTGGGTTGGGTTTTGATATATTTTTCAGATATTACAATCGAAAAGTATGGCGGTGTTACAACATTAAACATAGACCGCCAGAAGACTAGAAACAGTCTTGATGAAGCTACATTGAGAGAGATGGCCACTGCAATAGATGCATTTGATAAAGATAATGATGCAAAGGTTTTGGTGTTTAATGGTGAAGGCGGATCATTCTGTTCCGGGTTTGATTTAGATGAAGTAGGTGCAAAGGGATACAATACACTTCTAGATGCTGCCGTAAGTTTCTCTTCACTTCTTACATTTAATTTTTATTTTTTACATTGTACTGTTTCACAAAAATAAATTCAAACAAAGTTAGCATTTGAAATTAATGAACCAACAAGGCGAAGCTGCGGAGACGAGGATGGATGCCTGCGATTTGTCAGGCAAGGGCCTAAAGTCTGCTATTGAATATAGTATAGTGAAGGAGAACACTTCACTTCCCCTCCAAGGGGTTTCCCTCATTTTAAAAATTAATAGAACTCGAAAGGGGGGGTTCCACAATTTTTCCTTTTTACTGACTACTAATGATGGTTAAGTAGGTAGTTGTGAAAAAATTAAAAAACATTGTCCAGTTTCATGATAAGTAATAATTAAAATTTAATGTAAATGCTATGTATGGCCATGGAGAGACTATATTGCAACATGAGAAAGAGACGAAAAAATTTGAGGCTATGCAAAACAAGTTTCAAATTAAAAATTTTTACATTTTAAAATAGGTACTATAAAAAAGAGAATTTTATCATTTGAACTAAATACTAAATACAATTAAATGCTACATACACATTACTGACTGACTGATCTGTCAGTGATAGATACTGAAATGGGATATGGACTTTGTAATATGTTGTTTTTATATAAATGTTATAGTCATTACTCATAAATACTATGATATTTGAAATATTAATATGTGATAGTTTTGGATGTAATAAGAAGTGAAACATTGGGTACAAGGTCAAGTCACATGGTGCTTACTAGCAGAGGCCACATTTAGCAGTGGACAACCAAAGGCTCATGCTGAAAAAATGTGTTTTTTATAGCAATCAGCAAATATCAACTTAATATCAAATGGTATCAGCACTACCCAGTTTGTTTTAAATAAAATATGCTGGTTTGCTGGAAGAGGACTCTTTTAGGGTTAAGCTCGCCTTTGCATGTTTTTTTAACCTTAACTTTAACTTTATATACAATAAAAAGAATGCAACAACATATTGCAAATGTTGCAGTCACGATTACGTCGTCGGCCTTTATGTGATAAACCAACCATAGCTGCTGTCACTGGATATGCCGTTGCTGAGGGCTTCGAGCTTGCCCTTGCGTGTGACCTTCGTATAATTGAGGATACATCGGTGATTGGGTGCCTAGGACGTAGATTTGGTGGGTTTAATTTTAAATATTACACTGAAGATGGCCCTTTAATGACCCCTTCTTTATATTATGTAATAAAATTCATCCTTTACAAAAATTATTCAAGGTGTGAGCCTTAATGTCAATCGTTTATTGAAACAAAAACAAACGTTTTTCTTCAAAAAAATTACCATTCTATTCCCTAAAAAGCAGTACTTGTTGACAATGCAGTAGGTCATTCATAAATACCTAAATTTTACTGTTCACGCAAATGAACTTGTGTGCGTGTTAGTTATGAATGATCACGCACTTTTTGAGATAAGTTCAAATAAATGTAATTAATGACTTACAAGTGATGTAAAATATTTATCATTTTTTATATAACATTATTAATGTCTAGGATTAATAAAAAAATGGATATACTTAGAAAAGCCTCCCTGTATATTTGTGTTTACTTAATATACTTAAATAATTAACTACAAAACTGTAAATGAATTAGGAATATTAATGTCATTATTTATCTAGGTGTTCCACAAAGTTTGTACGGCGCCCGACGTCTGACATCGCTTATAGGACTTTCCCGTGCGCTAGATTTACTAATGACGGGAAGGTTGATAAACGGTTCTGAAGCTTATGCAATGGGATTAGCATGTAAACTGACTTCCACAGGAACTGGTAACTGATTTTTTATATAATATCCTGTCATGTGTTTAGTTATTAGTTATCCATGTCTCCATTGTACAATACAAACTGCCTCACTTCTTGCGCACCCACCTAGGGACTAGCCTGACAAGACTACACACTCGGTGTTAACTTATATTATAACACATCATTCTCGTTCCCACGCATGTCACACATATGTGTGACGTAGCATGAAAAAATTTCTTGTAAACTTAAAAGTTACAAATTAATCGTTATAAATTAATAGGCGATATCGGATTGCAAATATCTAATTGTATTTGTTTTAGCACTTGGAGAATCAGTGAAATTGGCCAAATCATTGGTGAAGTTTCCACAAAATGCACTCATAATGGACAAGTTAGCCGCTGTCATTTCACAATTGAACCCCAACAGTGAGGAGAGTATGCGCGATGAGGCTGTCTTATCAAGCCTGTTAGGAGGGGCTATAAAAGATATAAACGAAGGAGTAATTAAGTTCCAAAAAGGTATGTACTATGTTATCATTTTGTTTTATAACCTTTACATAAGTTGATTGTACAGGGTTGGTGTCTGCACATTTAATTCCAAGTGACTATAGAAGCGGTACAATACAATTGTAAGTATCACACTGCTGTGGCTGGTTATTTTGTGCCCCTACGGTTGATGTATATTACGGAAGTACTTATTTTGACAATGTAGGTGTCGTAATCGCTTGTAACTTGCCACTCGAGTTTTCCTAGGAAAAACTTGAGTGCCGAAGTTAGGTTTAAGTTATAAAAAACCTAGTTTGTTTTTGGCTTAATGCAACTTCTTATTACTTGTTTGGTGTATACCAGCTACCTTCGTCTACCCCTGTATGAGACATCATAATTCATATGGATGATTGGGAGACAATTGACTATTTATCTACTTTTATTTTATTTGGATGATGATATATTTAATAATAAAATAATAAATATTTTAGGACAAATTCTTTTTACACAACGTTCTCTAGTCCCTAACTAAGCAATGCTTGTACTATGGGTACTAGAAAACTGATAGACATACTTAAACATACTTTTCTTTTGTAAATAAATACACATTATACATACATAAACACCCAGACACTGGAAAAACACTATGCTCATCACACAACATTTTTCCAGTAGTGGGGATTGAACCCACACCGTCTGGCGCAGAAGGCAGGTACACTACCGACTACGCCATTCGGGTCGTCAATCAATAGAATGTTATGTTTAAAAGTGAAAAACGAACTCGTTTCCAGTGATTTTTTTGCATGCGACTGTGTTCAAACCAATCTGTTCAGCTCCAGGAGTCGACGTCTACTATAATGCTATAGTACTTACACTTCTCTCAATATCACATTTTTTTGATTTTGTAATTGTTTCATTTTTTTATCACCAGGTATAGGCAAGCACGGGAAATTCTATAGACTGACAGAAGTACCACTTAAGGATTGGGAAATCGAAGAAACCATTGATGAAATTACGGTTGAATCAGATAAGTCGCCAAAAAAATCTTAGATGTCATATAATGTTCTGGTAAAATTTTGATTTGTTAACGTTTTAAGTTAGGTGTATTTGTTGATTAAACTTAGAAATAATATTGTTATGAAGTCATTAAAGCAGAAAGAGAATAAATGTTTCATTTGTATTATGACTACTGAAAACTAATAATGTCAATCCTTCTTGTGTTGTTGATATTAAATTTCTGGCTCATTTAGCCGTTACCTGGAGTATCTAGATGACTAGATCTACAACTTACTTTCTAGGGCTTTACGCATGAGTTTTCATTTTGCGTTCAGCGCAGCACACCGCAATTTTTGTTAAAGGTTAACTTATATTATATTAGTGAAGTGAAATAACTAGTAATTTTTAGGAGAGTTTAAATTTATGAACAAACATTGTTGTGTTAATCTTCTTCTAATTTATGATATTTTGTTGTTTGTGGAAAAAATTAAATAAAAATGCAATCACGTAATTTCTTTCCCTTCTTGTCCATTATATTGACGAGATAATTCCCATTGAAACATGCCTTTGTTTGTGATAGGGTGTATATCATAAATACAGGGAAATTCTAGACATAAATAATATTATATAAAAATAATAAATATTTTAAAACACTCGTAAGTAATTAACTACATTCATTTGAACTTATTTCAAAAAGTGCGTGATTTATACGCTACTCGTTTATTTTAGAGCGTGATCATTCATAACCAATACGCACATAAGTTCGTTTGTGTGTGTGAACAGTAAAATGTATTTATGAATGATTACCGCTTTGTCAACAAGTTCTGATTTTTAGGGAACGATAATTTAAAAAAAAAGTTTGTTTTCATTTCAATAAACTACCACTACTATTACTACCGAGTCCGAACCTTTTATGTAAATTTGGGCACCTTTAAAAAGCCTAACTGTATAGGTACTTTTTTTTTATTTTTAAAAAAGAAATTGTCCTCCCTTTAGGATAACATTAATCTGTGTTGCAAGGACGTCACGTGGACAAATACCCAGATGCGAAACAACTATCTGTGGGTAACACAAATAGTTGTCCCGCGTGGGAATCGAACCTACGACCCCCGACGCCGAAGCCAATACCAAGGTTGAGTCACCAAGGTACTTATTGTTAATCAGTATGAAACTATGAATCTCTTAAGAATCTGGTACCATGGAAGATATCGGTCGAGCTACTGGCTTACAAATTATTATAATAGAGTTAACCTATAACAACCTGAATATTTCCGAATAAAATAAAAAAAAGAAATTATAAAATACTTTGAAGATTTGTGAAGTCCGGTAATCCCCAGCATGGTGGACTATGCTCTATATACCTTATGAACAGAGTAGGCCTCTAGCCTACGCCGGTACCTATTGTTCTCAATGTACTATAAAAAAAAACAAAAATTTTTAACTAAAATCTACAACCTGACATTTTACGCCGCTGTAAATAACGTAACTAATAGGGCCTTCCTGTCGAACCGCTCTTTTCGATATCGAGTTGAAGGCACCCTCTCCACAAGCCGCCGCCTCACGGCAGGCGTACCACAAGGCTCCTGGCTCCCACCTTTGCTCTTTACGCTCTACACGAGAAATATACCTAAAGACCCCCACGTCAAACTCGCGCTTTTCGCGAATGACACGGCGCTCTTTTATTCAGATCGCAACTTTATAGTCAACTAACCACTCGACTCCAAAGCGGCGCCGACCGCCTCGGCGATTGGTTTCGCAAATGGAGAATAGAAATAAATCCCGAAAAGAGTGTGGCGATTCACTTCACGAGAAATACTTACCCGTCACATCTTTATAATGGCCCTCGCCAATGAAGAAGGTTGGGCCAAATATCCCTTTATGGCCAACCGCTCCCCTGGGAGAAAAAGGTCAAATACTTAGGGAGTCACTTTCGACTCGCGTATTTCATTTACTACGTACATTAATAACGTTCGCAATAGAGCCGCGTTCGTCTCCGGCCGGCTACACAATTTAACTAACGCTAAAAGTAAAATGCCCTTAAGGCACAACCGGTGCGCAGTGGTATCAACGCAACGTCGACCTGCACAACGATTGCAGACTTCCGACGATTCGCGAATATTTTAAAGACCTGACCAAACGGTTCTTCGATAGAGCCGAACATCATCCCAACCCTCTGGTGGTTACTACACTTACAATTACTAACCCGACACAAACGCGAACGTCAACAAGCGTCGCCCGCGAAACGTCCTCATCGACCCGGTCGAGGAAGGGGACTGATACGCCGGACGTCCCGCCGGATAAAACTACACCCACAGTTAGTGCAACAACAAACACACTAGTTCGCCCTCGCCTCCGAGCACGGCGAAACCAACACAACGCGTACACAAGGTACACCCGCGTTCCGGGGCGGTTCTCACCGCTCCCATCCACCGATTAGCTAATTGTACAGTCGACGGCCATTGGGGTTTCGGTCCGAACCGCGACCTCGATGGCCCTTAGATGACACACCATAGTTAAACGCACGCATGAGCACATGCGTGGCCCTACCCACAGCGGAGGGCCCAAACCCGTGGGTTCTGGCTAGCCCACCGGTTCTACGTCAGATGAAGCTTTAATAGTCTCGGGACTGAAAGCAAAAACATCAGTTAATGCAAATTTGAAATTGACCGGCTGCATCGATAAATGCAAAACATTTACGCAATAATATACATGTTATAGTTCAGTAATTGCGTTAAACTGCTAAACGTCTTTCAGTTCTAACGACGCATCTGCGGTTTTGTAGAAAAGCGAGACCATCAATCTGACACAGATGAAGTAGAAAGACATGGCGAATGTAAATTATTTACAGTGGTACGGTAAGAAGACCGGTGTGAATGTAATGTGAACATACTATACTATCACGTTTGGTCTGGTGAGTAAGGTAGCCAGTGCATCTGTAGGCAGATGAATTGCCTTAGTGGTCTGTATGGCAATGCATCTGCATCCTTCAGGAGTTCCACTTATTCACATTGGTTCACCTGATGGTGAGAGATTACCACCTGCATGTTTGACAACTTTTTACATACAAAAATATCAGTGATACCTCTAATTTGTATTTTAAAGGAAATTAAAATACATGCTATAATTAACAGAAATTTATTAGAAAAAGTTTATAATATTTTTAAAACTGGTCATCCCTGAGCCCCTTTTCCTCTTGGTACTTGTAATGTAGGTCAGAGCAATCCTCATTGGATATATTGACCCAGCCTTTGTCACTAATGTGGTAAACTCGAATGATACCACCAGAGTACGCGTCGCGATGTGTAGCGTGATAGATCGCTCGGCGACCAAGCTCTGGAATTTGCAAAGAAATTATGTGGTCAAGGAATGAACTAAAATTTAAGTTTTTGAATTGCTGATGCTCCAAGTACACTATTATAGAATTAAAATGGAAATTTTATAATTTATCTAATATAAACATTGATAATCAATTTAAATTTGTATTTAAGATATTTCTGATTTTATACAGGTTTATAACTGGGTGTAAAATAATTGTAGATTATGTAAAAATTTAACAAAATATTGTCTTATGTACATATATTGCTATTTTTTATGGATTAAGCAACAAAATTACACACCCTGAGCCTCTATGTCTTCAAGGTCCCACTTGTAGCCGGAGTCGAGGACACCAAAAGCGTAAACAGAGCCAGAACCCACAGAAAACACTTTCCCTGGAGTCCTAGTGCCTTCGCTGTCCACATAATACAACTGTGCACCCTAGACAGAAATTACTATAATTAGAATGTGTTGAAGATTTTCATAGTATGTAACAAAACTGTTTACTTTGGTAGGGCCTCACAAGTCTTTGCTGTTGCACAAATGGGCAGGTTTCTCCCGCTTAGTACTTAAGACTGGCGTAAATTGAAAGCGTTATACTTCTGCATTTCGTCTAGTTCACGCAGTTTGCCTGTACATGGAATGTGCTTCTTAATACTAGACTGTAATAATTTGTATGGATTTATACAAATAAATAATTATAAATAAAGAAATATCTGGTATTTTGGTGATGCTATCCTTTGAGTGACTTCACATCAACAGTGGCAAACTTAGTGTGAATGGGCAATAAAGATAATTAAATTCCAATAGTTACACTTACACGCTTATCAAAACCAGCAAGCATCATGCCCATGCTTAGACCCATTCCCTTGTAGTTATAGACCATATTTGCCATCAGCTTGCTGGCTGCTGCTACGGAAATGCGCTCACGGTTGCGGAGCTCATACAAACGGCACTGTTTGGCTAATACCCTATCCCAATAGACACAGTCTGCTGCACCACCAGCAAGAGTACCTGAATAAATTAATAATCAAACACAATTAACAAATAGACTTCAAACGAATAAGCTTTTACTATGCCCTAACAGTTTAAAGGGAGATAGACAGTGTTTCTTGAAAAAATAACAGAGATATGAAAATAAAAGCCATAAATATAATGTGAATTATAAAAAAAGTTAAAACTTATTGATACTTGATGGAATTCTAACTTGTGATTACAAGAAAATGAATGTGTTTAATTCAACATAGATAAATGATTTAAATAAGATTTGTGAATCATCATACTTTGAGTTTTCTGCTGGTGTGGAAAAGAAAACCTTTGTTTTTAAAATGTGACTGTTTTGTTGCAAAATAATTATTTTTTTGGTGGTGCAGGATTCAAACCTACTTCTTCCAGGTGGTCCTAACTTGAGACCAAAAATAAAAACTAAAATCAATGGATACAAAACCTAACAGGAGGATCTTACCAAGGAGATAATCATTAATTTCCACAATCTTTTTCATGGTCTGAGATCCAATAAATTGCCCACCAGTGGCACGGGAATCTACAGCCAAAAGTACTCCACCCTGTAACAAAACTTGTGGTCAAGCATATATTGTTCAAAAATAATTAATTAGTTCAAGACTTAATTATAACCAATGTTTTTTCTTTAGTAATGAGTCTTCAAAATTCAAGAAGTTGAAAAGATAATGTTCCATGATGTTATGCTAGCAGATTTTTTTAGAAGTACTTCAGACCCTTTTTTCCTTACTTTAACACGATACTCACTTTATAGCGGAATCCTAGAGTAGTAGTACCGTGATCAAATTCAATTTTGATGTCGCGTCCGGTCTCATCTTTTCTGTTGAATTGCGCTAGAGTTTCCACTGGCTTTAAAAATAAAAGCATACGTAAAATATTAGAAAATCATAAATAATTAACACACAATAAGTAAAATAACCTGCACTTACATTTGTAAACGGCGGAATTGCAAGTTGTGTATTATTACTGAAGTTTTCACTGTATCCTAGTACATCATTTTGAAATGAAGCTAGCGAGTCAACGGGTTTTATATTAATTTTTTCGTCAAGACGGCAAAAGTCTAATAGAGCCATTGTTTTGAAAATTATTTAACAAACTTTGTATTAAAGTCGAATGACAAGCAAAATCTGAAGAATATCGGAAACGCTAGATTGACAGCTTGAAAGGTGTTGCCATAAATCTATAGTATGCCAAAAAGTATTGCTTACAATGCGATACATCGACAGTAGGATTTAATACAATGATAAACTAAATTTCTCCAATATATCCTATTCATTACTACCACTCATCACCGACTTAAACATGTACTTTTTAATTAATTTTACTTTTATTCGCACTCATGAGTAAAATACAATGTTATTATTTATTTTTCTACTCAACACTAGATGGCAGCACATGTATTTTTTTGTGTCGAAAATATGGTTCGTAGAAACAAAGTAATTTACATTTTTATTTATTAAATCGTGTATAAGTCGGTTTACTTAAACTTATATAATTGTCAATAAGTAGAGAATGGTATTATAACTATCGCAGTTTGGAACAATTTTATAAATTATGATTTAATAATAACATGACTGTATCAAAATAGATAATTATTTAAAAGAAGACAACATGAGAATTTTGCGATTCAACGAACAAGCAACAATAAGTAGTGATAAGTTAGCGAACCTATTATTACGCTATGAGTCAAAGGGATAGAGCGCTCATCCCAATGCGATACGATCTGTAATATTATCGTTTAAATTCGAAGAGTTTGCATAATGTCTGTCATTAAGTTCGACGATACGAGCGCGATACGTATGCTAGGCCTTATTATTATATACTATTGATAGATGTACAAGGTATTGTGTATGTATATTTTTCTGAGGTATAAAGCTATATAACATGATATTAATTAGCTTATTTTTTTATGTTGATCTTAACTGATTGATTTATTTTCTTTTATGTAAACTTATTTATATAATATTTAGTCTTTACATCCTTTGTCGTAATATAAAATCCAGACCTCGGAAAATGTTTTAAAAGATTACAATTAAACTGCTATCGGCTCTGACAGATTTTTTTAAATCAGCAGTCACTGACAAGTTTTATCAGTAAATTTTAAGGGAATTAAGATCATGCAAGTCTCTACATTTCTATGAAGGAATACTATAAACAATATTATAAACTAGAAAAACTATTAGCTTCGCTTTTGTGTTGAGTTATTAAAAGGCGAAAATAAAAAAATATTGATCAGGCACAACGAAAGCTCATGATGGCATTGAAATATGTCTGCTGTTTATTTAAATGTTAGTTTAGTGGTTAAATTGCGGATAAATATTTTACTGATGCCAGGCTCTGGGCTGGAAGTCTTCGTCTTCTAAGTAACGCGCCTATATATTCTAGCCAACCGAGCTTATGGGCGATAACGAGTACTCTATAGTGCTGACACTAGCAAATAATCATGATTTTTAAAACATCACATTTTCATAGCATTTATTGTTTAAAAGCAGAATCCATAGAATGCAGTAGTAATAGTATCAATATAGAGCTTGTTTAAATTAGCTTTTTAGTTAATTAAAATTTTTTTTAAACTTCTTGAATCTAACGCTGAGAGGAAACCTTTTGGTGCATAGTATGCATAATATTTAGAATTTAGGACTGTTTTCTTTTTTGTAACGACATTATTGTGTTCATGTACCAAATAAATATTTTTCTTTCTTTCTAATTTAGCTAATTCAAAAATCTCGTATGATCAAATTGTGTTGAATTGTGTTGTGTCGATTCTGTTTAGGCCTCTCCTTCAAGGGAACGATATCAGCTTGTTAGGTTTTCGTAACTAAAGGGTAAAACCTGAACACTTTTACTAAGACTTCGGTGTCTGTCTGTCACTAGGCTGTATTTCATGAACAGTTGAAATTTTCACAGATGATGCATTTCGATAAGCTAAAATAACAGAATAAATAAATATTTAAGTGGGGCTTCCATATAATAGACATGATTTTTGACACCTTTTTTATAGATAATGATACGGAATCCTTCGTGCGCGAGTCCGACCCGCACTTGGGCGGTTTTTTTAATTGTTCTTATATCCGCTCTTCTTCGGAAACATTAGTAGCATGAATCACGCACCTATATTGTATAATTCTATCTGTTTTTTTTAATACAAAACCATACGATAACCAGGTAGTACGGCACTCCTCAGTCGTATACAAATATCCTCTATATCATTTTTAAAAGGAAGATGAAAAAAGTCAAAAAGCAAGTCAAAGATTTTAAGGGACCCGGTGCATAGGTGTACAGAGCTGTGATAGCTCAGTTTCCGGGCGTTAGCTTTTAATTAATTATTCTCGCCCAACCTAAGTTCCAACCCCGGTTTGCACCAATGAATTTGTTAATGCTAAGTGCTGACTTATCACGTCCTCAGCGGTGAAGGAAAAAATCTTGAGGAAACCTGTATATTTTCCCAATAATAACAAAAAATATTTCGAAGCTATGTGAAGTTTGCAAATCCGCAGTGTAGGCTTTGTAAAGAGAAAGCTTTTTGCTCAGCAGTGGGATATGTATAGGCTAACATCTTACTTTCTCACTTTACAATAGATGTTTAATAAGGTCTTCATGATATAACATGTAATAAAAAGAAAAATAAAATAATAATTTTTTTTTGAGTTCTTAGTCAAAGTCAAAAAGCAAGTCAAAGATTTTAAGGGACCCGGTGCATAGGTGTACAGAGCTGTGATAGCTCAGTTTCCGGGCGTTAGCTTTTAATTAATTATTCTCGCCCAACCTAAGTTCCAACCCCGGTTTGCACCAATGAATTTGTTAATGCTAAGTGCTGACTTATCACGTCCTCAGCGGTGAAGGAAAAAATCTTGAGGAAACCTGTATATTTTCCCAATAATAACAAAAAATATTTCGAAGCTATGTGAAGTTTGCAAATCCGCAGTGTAGGCTTTGTAAAGAGAAAGCTTTTTGCTCAGCAGTGGGATATGTATAGGCTAACATCTTACTTTCTCACTTTACAATAGATGTTTAATAAGGTCTTCATGATATAACATGTAAAAAAAGAAAAATAAAATAATAATTTTTTTTTGAGTTCTTAGTCAAAGTCAAAAAGCAAGTCAAAGATTTTAAGGGACCCGGTGCATAGGTGTACAGAGCTGTGAAGCTCAGTTTCCGGGCGTTAGCTTTTAATTAATTATTCTCGCCCAACCTAAGTTCCAACCCCGGTTTGCACCAATGAATTTGTTAATGCTAAGTGCTGACTTATCACGTCCTCAGCGGTGAAGGAAAAAATCTTGAGGAAACCTGTATATTTTCCCAATAATAACAAAAAATATTTCGAAGCTATGTGAAGTTTGCAAATCCGCAGTGTAGGCTTTGTAAAGAGAAAGCTTTTTGCTCAGCAGTGGGATATGTATAGGCTAACATCTTACTTTCTCACTTTACAATAGATGTTTAATAAGGTCTTCATGATATAACATGTAATAAAAAGAAAAATAAAATAATAATTTTTTTTTGAGTTCTTAGTAGTTTAACATGGAAAATTGAAACCCATTAACTGCATTAAAAATGCTATTATATTATAAACAAGGTTGTGTCAGGGGTGGATGCCAACTACCTTTAATGTTATTTAATTATTAATTTAAAGTTGTAAGTAAAAAACATACAGCCCCCATTTTTAAAGATATCTTTTATGGGATCCAATATAATGATATTACGTTTTAATGTGAGAAAGTTTCAAACGAGCTGGCGGTTCACGTGATTTTAAGTGATAACCGCCGCCCATGGACATTTGCAACACCCGTAGGGTTGCAGATGTGTTGCCACCTATTAATAAAGGCCCCCGCTACCTCGCTCACCAGACGAAACGCAGAAGTGTAACACTTCTACTTCACGCTGATCTTCTGTGAGGTCGTGGTACTAACTCGGACTGACCTGCCCAGCTTGGCCTACCACAGTAACTTTTTGACCATGGTTCAAAACATGGGATGTGGTGGGTCTTGTTAGTGTACAGCGAGAATAAATGTGACAATGTGACTTTTTCGTGTGTATAAACCGACAGGAAGCATTGCTCTGGAATCGAACCTGAAATTTGTATGACCTCATCCCAGTAACTGAAATAAATATGTAAGTACATATATAGCATGTCCGACAGCTCTGGGCGAAGGTCTGTTACTTACGGAAGTAATAAGACATATACTACCCAGCGGCCGTGTATGTAGATTTCGCACATAATTGAAATTATTTAATTATTTAAATATTTCTTATGATATTCCCACGCCATCTTCTTAGAGCCGTGATAGCTCAGTGTCCGAGCGCTGGCCTTAAATTCGATATACTCGAGCAACCTCAGTTCGAACCCCGGTGCCAGCAACAATGAAATTGTTAATTTTAAGTAATGACTTATCACGTACTCAGCGATGAAGGAAAACACCGAGAGGAAACTTGCATATTCTTCGAAAAAATAACGAAAAATTTTTTTTAAGATATGTGAAGTCCGCCAATCCGCAGTGGGTCCGCGTGGTGGACTATGCCCTGATACCCTCTGTATAGAAGAAGCCTTTGCCCAGCACTGGGACCATTATCGGCTATTACTTTACTACTTTTACTTTACATCTTCCTTATCTCCGAGCACGTGGTAAAATAGCGGTAAAATATTAACGGAACCTGCACTCAAGTGGCTCGAGTGTTGCGGTCAAAGCTGCGCAACACACTAAGCTAGGACTAAGCCTCGCCGACTCTCGTGAAACGATGTCCGCAACTCCGTTGCTATTAAACGCACGATTATTACAGCAATTAACCGTTTCACTTTGACAGCGGCGCCGGCCCACCCCACCCACTCAGTGCGGGGATCGTGAAACCCGAAAATTATGAAAGTCACGACCACGGGCCGGCCGGCGCCTTAAGTGCGCCGAGAGTTAACCTAGTCCCTGCCAAATGATAGCCCAAAATGCACGACTGCGACGCGCCCCCGCCGCCCGTTACACCGTTACGCGCGAAGCGGCAATTTTTTTTTAAGAAGCAAGCGTCATTCACCTGATTTTCGATGATAACCGCCCCGCATGGCACGCCACACACCGCCCCACATTTG